GTTGTTTGGTCTGTAAACCAGAAGGGAAGATGCAGATCCTAGATGGATCACAGGGTTGTGAACATCAAATGGGAAAGCGGAAACGGCTTCCTTGTGAAAAGTTAAGCTCTACAAATGTCAGGCCCCATCACTCTTGGATACTATCTTATAAAGCTAGTCCCTGAGTATATGCCCGCAATCATCACATCCTCTCTCTTGACTATCTTTCCTCTACACATGGAGCACTTCACTCAACTCCAACTTAAACATCACATACAAAGAAAAGATAAGCAGTGAGAAAATCCAAATGTGTTGGCAATATCGCTGCACGTTAACAAGAAAGAGCTAGGTTCACGTTGAACTCCGTTTTCGTGGCGCCTAACTCTCCTTTCCATAGGTCCTATTAACTTCAAAGGGAGCTCCGTGCATGTAAATGATTATATTTATTGGATGCGCCAACTCCTTCTTATCCTCCGGGCACAATTAGAAATATCATAGAAAAATGAATGTCAGAGACTTGGATCCATATTTGATATTCTATGGGAAATTTCCTGTAGTTACAGATGTCAAAATCCTGCGCAATGGTCCAGGTATGAACATGTACTCTTTCTGCTTCTACCATCTTTGGAATGATTTCTCTCATTTTAGAATATTCCTTTCTACATTAAAGGAAAAAAAAAATGTTCTCTTTAGATCCAGATAAGCCAGTGATAAAATCTTGGCTTGTCCAACTTGGTGTGATTAAAAAAAAAAAAAAATTTGGACTGTAGAGCGCTGCTCGTTCAAGAATGTTAGAGCTTCCCTGGGATTCTATTGTTCATACTTACAGCGATCCTGTTCCTCCTTTAGGCCACTCTGGGAGCTGCTGGTTGAGTCAGTGTCTAGGAACTAAACTCCTGGGTGCCCAGTTTAATACTCCATCCACTAAGCCACCTGTAGTTTCCGTGTTCGTTGCAAATTCAGGCCATTATTAATATTCTTGTTAGGTGGCTATAACCTCGGGTGTTCTCGGGTTGAAATCGCCACAGTCGATGGGAGCCCGGGGTAGGTGTAGGAAGAGCTGCACTTTCCACACAGATTTGCTGTTTGTTCTGTTTAAATTCAGTTGTCTAGGGTCGCCTGGCTGGCTGAGTCAGTGGAGCGAGCAACTCTTGATCTCAGGGTTGTGAGTTCGAGCCCCATGTTGGGTGTAGAGTTTACTTACAAATAGAAATCTTACATAATCAGGCGTCCAGTGGCTCTTGGTGGAAATGTCTCTGGAACTAATTCTGACAAATTATGTCCTCACCCAGACTCCTCAGTGGACCTGACCTTGCAAGTGGTACAGATACGGTTCCTGGGCCATAAGTATCCTTACACATTATGTATCATACAAATAATATGCGTGTTACACTTCCGAGAGGGCAGGTTAAGTCTTTAACTGCACACTTCTTTAAAGTGACCCCTCAAAAAGAGAAAAATGGAAGAATTTCCTCAAATCAAATATTCAGAACGCTTATGAAAGAGAAAACGTGTACTACTGAGAAGATGAAAACCTTTTCTGGAAACGTACCCGCGTGAGGGGTGGGGCGACAGACACAGAGACTTACCTGATACTGTCATAAGCAAACTGATTTACGAAATAGTTATTCTAGGTAGTTTTACAGACAAATAAAACCATATCCACAAAGTAACCTGGATCCACTGCGAATTATTCGTAAGAAATAAGTAAGCAAAGACAGTCTAATTTTAGTAAATATTGATAGAGCAAAACAATCCAAAGTATATATAACAATCACATTTCTAGTGAAAATGTGTGTAAGTAGGTTTATTTTGAAAGGAAAAGTCCTACTCCCAGTGTCATAACCAATTAAATTCTCCAGGTAATGACCCCATTTGCATAGTGAGCGGAACCCACAAGTGGGAATTTTAATGGGCACACCACCTGAGTACAGTAATTGAGAGTGACACAACTTGAACTAGTTTTGTGCTTACCCCACTGAAAATTCTACTCATATTATTTTTAATGTCAAGCTACAAGTCAAATTTCAAGATGATGGATTTGTTCTTTTTTAAGCACTGAGTTTGAGTAAAAGAAATGCTTTAATTCTGTTATGCATTGCATATCTTTGCTTTAACTAATCTGTATTTCTGAGTCTCGCCCTTGCTTCATTTTCTTCAGTGATTGGAATTTAATTTTATTCATTAATTTGTGAATAATTAGATAAAAAAAAAATAATGTCCTCAGCAGCCAAATTGCTTTTGGATTGCAATTTAATGTACTTTTACCAGAATATGTATTCTCGTTAAGCTGGCATAATAGTTTACTAAAATGTAATTGTGTAAATATGCCCAATTATTCTTTCTGATGATCTAAGGAAATCTAATCGAATATGTATTCCTATCTCCCTCCTCCTCCGCCTCAACGCCAGTAAAACGCCCTTCCTGCAGAGCTGATCACAGATGCCTTGTCATCTGAAGGTGTTACTTTTAAAAGATGTTCTCCTTATCTCTCAGGCACTATTCATGTCCTTGAAAGAATTGTGCATTCTGATTGAGGGATCCTATGACGTCCACGTTAAATCATCTAATAAAGGTGATCTCAAGACTCTGAGAGTCAGACACACACATGAAGAACTGTGCTTTCTAGGTTTTGAGATGACATGTTAAAACTTCTTTTGTTTCACTCGAAGATTGCTTGAGATCCTAACTATTTGTAGGTGTTTGACACCACTCCGCCACACGTGTAATTGGCATAGCATCCAGCAGACAGGCTCTGTACATCTTTACGCTGCAACCTACCAAGTTAAGAAATGTATTGGTTCAATATAAAACAGCAGGCTGTTTTTAGACATAGTTACTAGTGCACAAGCTTTAATATGGCTTGGCTTCATCCTATAATGAGATCTTTTGGTTCCCTGCTCAACAGGCTTTATTCCTTTGCAAAAGGCTATGAACTATGTCAAGTGGATCAGCTGCTTTTGTACACCCTCTTTCTTGGCTTTGGAACGTAATTCTTTTGCTTCTACCCCTTTATGCATCAGACAGAACTTAAGAACCTTTTCAATTTTTCAAGCTAAACTTAGAATTTGTTTGAATTTGCTTTTTACGATTTTCCTAATAATTACCTTCTCTACTGAACCTCACACAAAGACCTGCCTGGAAGCGAGCACTTGATTGCAAAGCCATACTTTGTCTTTAACGCGCGTTAGCCATACCCCGTGGCGGGAACGTGTCAAAGGATGGCCATGGAGCGTGATTTCTTCCCGGCCACCCCACAGCCGAACGCAGCCCCGAGGTGAGGGACGGGGGGCACAAGTAACAGACAAACAATGGAACCAGGCCTTGTAGCCAGCGCTCAGGCAAGGCCAGGGGGGGGGGGGAGTCCTTGTGTTGACGTCGGGCAGCTTCGGAGCTGTCGGTGAGGCCCCTGTGGACACTGTCACACTGGTGTCCCGGCTTGGGGAGGAACGGGCTGGTGCAGTCCCTGCCTCCAAGAGAGCCTGCCTTCGGGCTGGGCTTGGCTGGGGCTGCGCTCCGAAGCCTTTGCACCCGGCTGGCTCCTGGCTTCGTGAGAACGTGATCGAGGCGTTTGGATTCATGGCGCTGTGAGGCAGAGGGAGCAGTTATTGTTGGGGATTTGGGGATGTGCAAATACTGGGTGGATTTAGTCACCACGGATCGTTTTTGCAAAAACCACCCTCCGCTGTAGGGCTGCATCGTGACATTACCCCGTCTACACACACACACACACACACACACACACACACTCTCACTCTCTCTCTCTTTCCCAGAGAATCTCGAATATTAAATAAGCAAATAAATACTAGCAGTTTTCTCATGAGAGGTGCCGAACTTCTGCCCTAGGTCGCAGCTCCCTGAGGGTCCTGACTCCACTGGGTTACCTGGAGAAAACAGGTACTGGAAATTTACTGGTTATAGTGGGGCATGGAGATGAAAGTTGTTCAAGGGACTGCCTTGTAAAAACAAAACAAAACTCTTCATCAAAAAACGTAAACAGCAAGTGTGGACTGAAGCCTATTAATATATGAACCAGTATTTAAAACAAAAATGGTAGGCTTTCCTACGTTAGTGTAAAGGGAAAAGAAAAATGGATACTGTAGTATTTGATGAAATTTTATCTTGCCTGTCAGATTAGATGTGATAAACCTACAGGTCTACAAATCACGAGTAATTGGAAAGGGCATTAAGGTCTTGAATAATTTGAAAAATAATCTCATTAATAAATAAACTTATTCATTAGGTGGTTGGCTAAACCCAAGCACTTAAACTGAGAAGGCAAGCCACAGACTCGGGACTCCAGTCTTATTTATGTTAGGCGGTGACTTTGACATTTATAACATTAGAATCTAGGGCACTGATAGAGTTTGTATGGATGAAGGGTGGAAAGTTATTACGTAAGGTTGCCTTGGTTACTCTTGGAAGTGTTCAGAGATATCCTGATGACTTTAGGTGAGGAAAAAGGATATAGTTGATAGACTAAGAATACAGAAATAAAATTATATTCCTAAATAAAAAGCCTTCTAACTAAAATGTCTTTTAGGGTGGGTGGGGGGTTAAATACTAACTATAAAACATCACCTACTACTTAAAGATGGTACCACTAAAAACCCTAGATGAAAATATTTCTGATGATTTAACTTTGGGTGAAATTCATTAAATCTAATACCTGATTTCATAGATGGTGTGTGTGTGTGTGTGTGTGTGTGTGTGTGTGTGTTATCTCAGTGTATATATTAAAAACAAAATTACCTTTGTTTCCATTTATTTACTTTGGAATTATCTCCTAATTTCTAAAAACCATTTACCTAAGACTATGTTTTAAAATCATATATTAACTATGATTTGCAGTATAAACGGATCTGAATCTTTCAGAGTTCATTTACAGGCATGAGTCATGTGATTTGCATAAGGAAATGAGGAAAGCTTCAGGAAGGGAAGTAACAAGATGAAAGCCTCGAGTTTTAAATTATGGTCAGATTCATTCAAATATCAATACAGTAATTAGGTAGAAAATATGCTAAAGCACAATAGAGAATTTTTTTTTATTTCAAAATAATGTATTCAGGATAATACAGGTCCAGTTTAAAAATATTAAAGGTTAGGTTTCCACATTTAAAAAGAGACCAAATCTGTAACTGTAAACTAGAGCACTTAGTCATGATGGCCATGTAATTCAACAAAACATTTTACATACAGAAATTCTAACATACACTGAAACTATTTTCACATTTTCCTACTTTGGTTCTTTTCTTTTTTAAAAATCATACAAGATACTTTATGGAATGACTAGAGTAGACGACAGAGAAAAAGTACTGTGAATATAAATATGAAAAGAAATTCTATCCACCAATATTCTCTGTTACGAAGAAACATTACTTTAAAAGTGCTAATATTTTCACTGCAAATAGTGGCAGACAAATCACTTTGCTGAAAAATCTCGCGAGATAAAAAAGTGACATTTTAACAATTCCAGGTCATCAGAAGGCTTTATATGTCAATACACAGATGATACTCTTATATCCTAACAGATACGTATAAGTTAACTTTGGGTATACGTAAATATTCAGATTCTGATTACTATGAAATAGTACAAAGATGTTCTTATAACTAATGTAACAAAAGGCATTCTTTAGACAAGAGAGAGACAAAGCGGTTTCCTATTAATTCTATTTAAACCTGACAATTTAAAGGGTGCTTGTATACACACACACACACACAGCGCTGAAAAGGGGATGCAGGAGTTTGCCTTTTTTTTTTTTTTCTTGAAGTCCTTTAAGTAACAGGATTAGAAGCTAGGTTTTATCTCAAAGGAGAAACCATAAGTGACATTCCAATGCTTTGGGTTAAAAACCTTAAAAGGCTAGGTTTGCTGAGGGCTTCCTAAAAAGATGCAAGTGTTTTCACTATCAATTTGAATTTCAGCTGAAGACCTGAAGTAACTATTAATCCAAAAGTATACTTCCAGAATTTCTACAAGGAATTACATTAAATCAAACCAAATTACAATTTTGGGAAGACCAGACTTAGGCAAGCACATGGTATGGAAACAGACTCCAGCTTTCCTTTGTGCTATGCCTTGCTAACTATATACTTCATCTCTACTCGACTTATTTTCTTTACGCCTGCAGCATCTTTATAACCTGCCATGTTGGTTGCGTTTAATATAAAGTCGCAATAGTGAAATCTGGTCACAGTGGTGGATGTCAAGTTTCCCACTGCATTTGAAAGAATGGTTTACATTTAAGACGGGTGGTGCTTATAAAACATTGGCTACAAAACAAGCCACCTCCCTCTCCAAAAAGACTTAGACCTCTCAAAAACAACAACAACAACAACAACAAACAAAAAAAAAACAGAACCAAAATGCTTTTGAATAAATCAAAATATTGGGATTTTAATATTTAAAAAAATCATCTAATTTAAATGCATTTATCAAAAGTATTCCAAATTCTTTATAAAATAGGGCTATTTTAATAAAGCATTAGGTTCTTATCAAAAACTTTATCATAACATTAAATGATGTGTAAAAAGCTGCATATTAATTTAAATTTTATAGTCTTTAAAAAACTATATTCCTGCAATTAAAAAAAAATACATACTTAAGGCATTTTTCTTTTAACTGCTTAAGGGTTCCCCACCTAAAACTTGGTCCTAAATCTAATTCATCCAAAAGGTCTCAAATGCCACCTTCTCCATGAAGCCTTGTGCATATTCCAGTTGACAAGAGTTATTATTTTCTGTGTGTTCCTAGAGCCTGGGCCTTCTCACATAATGCTCACTTCAGTGTGCCTTGACGAGTGGTTTGTCCGTGACAGGTCTCTTTCCTCTGCTAAACTGTATACCCCTCTGGACAGGAGCTCAATGGCAGGCCATTAACACACGGTAGGTGCTCAATGTCTGTTGAACAAGGGGAGAAAGAACCCAGGATGGAGATGAAACTGGGTCCCCAACTATGGTGCAGAGTTGTTTCCCAAAGTTCACTTTAAAGGAAGGGATGCTTCCTTTGAACCATGAAGAGATAAACATCAAAGATAAATTGTCTGGTTTAAATACCCACAGAGAAATAATACATTTGGAGCAAGGGGCTCCTAAGAATGGTTAAAAGAGACAAATATGCATAACAAGGAGGAGACATTTAGCATATACATATATTTTTTTGGTCAAAATGTCCCTCAGTCATTGTAACCTATTAAGTTTAAAAGTAGTTAAAATTTTCACATATTAAACCATGTAGTTTTGGTTAGAGAGAAAAGGCTTTCGGAGATTACTTAAAATAATGAGTTAACAGTGCAAATACTGGGTTGCTTCATGAGTATCTTACCATGCGTTTTTCTGCGCCTTTGAAAGAAAAATTCTTAAAACGCTCCAGTTTTAACACAAACATAAGATAAATACCTATGAAGGAAAACAGATTCCACAGCATTCCATACAGATTTCCAAACAGTCCGATGATTCACAACAAGCATCCATGATGCCACAATCCATGTCACATGGGCAGTTACAGTCATCCCCCATTTCGTCTCCACAGCAACAGCAGCAGGCTTCTGAGGTGCAGATGCCACAGGAAGCTTGGCCCAGGACAATATTGCAGAGGGTGAGGAATTCACAGAACAAGCAGGCCAGGATACAGTGGACACAGCAATCTTCGTTTTCAATTGGGAAGAGACCACATAGTGAGAAAAAAAAAATGAACACAAACATAAATCATCAGTGGACTGAATTAATAAGAATTGATCAAAATAGGTAATCCAGAACCCCACGACCTGCAGTCTTAGAAGTCTTTCTGTGAGCTGGGGGCTCACAAATAAACTTAAATTTTAGAAGAGCAATCTTTAGAAGTCGATACTGCATTCAGGAAAAAGAAGAAACCAAAAAGGTGGTGGTTGTGTGCACAGGTGTGTATGCGTGGCTTAGATTTTACTTCATTTTCACGTACTGTGCGGGGGTCTTAGTTGAGATTCCACTTCTCTGCACCTCTTTCCCATCTTCACTATATCCTACTGCTCTCTACTACACAGGCTAAACACCTTTCGTGACGTTAAAGTCCTTTAGAAATAGAAATTGGACTGCTCCACCCACCGGCTCCAAAATTGGAAGAAAAAAATATTCAGTATGATATATTCAGTCTGTTATGCAGCTGTTCCAGGATTACATCATCATCGTGATTTGTACGATAATTGTTTTAAAGATAGTTAGAAAGAGCTAGATTTATTATCGTATGAAGACAATAGAGTTTAACTGCCAGCAGCCAGTTCTCTTGAATGTGCCTTCAAACAAATACTCGTATTAACTAGTTCTAACACTTCTGACCTTACCTTTCGACTTCACTAGGGAATGCTTTCATTTCAAGGCCAAAAGGGGATTCTACACAAGCTCACTTGAAATTGAAGAACCTTGAACTGAGTATTCTTAAAGCCCTAAGAATATTCTTGAACATAAGATTCTTTCTGTATTATAAAACACATCCTACATAGAGCTATCTGTAATGGCTCTACCAATTTTAAAGGGGGGAAAGAATGGTCATCCCACCCAGCCGTAGAAGTAGAGGGTTACATCTTTGAAGCCTCCTCTGGTCCCTTCCTACCTAGAGTTTCCTCATCAAGAGGTCATCAATGTCTTGGATTTTGACTGAACCTTTCCCTGGCTTTTTTCACTGTACTTTTCACAACAGTGAATGTGGAAACATCCCTCCGTAACCTATCAGAAAGGTAAAAGGGTACTTTATGAATTCCTGTGAGTAGCATTCTTTTGTTCAACGCTGTTTATTTCCCCTCAGTGATTCATGTCGCTGTTGTTCACTTATTTTCCAGGTGTAGCGTATTCCAATTGATTAACTATGCCATTATTTATCCACACTATTTGTGAATGTATCTGTCATTTCCAGTGTTTTGCTATCCCAAACAGTACTGTCTGGAACAGTTTTGTGCCACTGTCCTAGAGCACACATGCTATGTCACTAGCAGAACTGGAAGCTCGCAAAGATATGCAAACTTGTTTCCAAAGCACTTGCTCCAAAATTTACTCCCCCCAACCAAGTTTGAGAATGCTCAATATCCACATCCTCATCAATCATGGAGACTGTCCTACTTCATATATGCCAGTTAGGTGAGTGTGAAAGGGGCATCTCATGGTGGTTTTACTTTGCATTTATTTACCTCCTCACTAGTAAGTTTAGATGTCTTTTCATGTTTCTTCTTCTTTGAAACAGGTGTTCAGGGCATTCATGTTTCCCTCTCATTTTTCTAATTAAGTTGTGCTTTTTTTTTTTCTTACTGATTTTAGAAGTTCTTCATCTATTCAAGATACCAGTCCTTTCTCAAAAATGACTCTGTTCTCAGTATGTGGCTCTTCTTAGGTTAAAATAAAATCAGAGACAGATGAGTTAATTTTTAGACCCTGAGAGCTTAAAGTAATAAAGAGAAATCTAAATCAAATCTTGTAGTTAGCTAGAGGTACGGGATTGATTACATGGCTGAGGAGGCATTAACAAGATTTGGTAGCAGAAAGAAATACAAAGTTTTAATGTCTGATTCAAAAGAAGGGAGCCCAGCCATGCTTATACACAGAAAGGAAGAAGAAACAAAGAATCAGGAGTGGACAGACTGAATGTGATTTTAGTTAAGAAGTCAACAGCCCTCAGGAGAAAGAGGGACGGGAGTGACATTCCAGACTAAATAGCTCATTGCCCCTCAGAGGACCTATCTATTCATTGGAGAATTAAAATCTCTTCCAGATTTTAAACAATGACAGTTGTCATACAGAAATGAGCAGCCATACGTCCAGAGTAGTCCGTCCAAACTCCTACTTTGAGCCAACAAGAGTCACAGATTAAGTCCATTAAATCTATTTTTAGTAAACAAAATGAGAAAGACACGTTCGCTGTCAGTAGATCAAACACTTCTTCTTTAACAAAACTGTGATTTCTGTAACTAATAGGTATGCGTGGTTGGTTTTTTTCATAGAATGGAAAGCCTAGTGTTAATGAAGTAAAATTATTTATTGCCTGTTTTCAGAATGGAGAATATGTTTTCATTGCTTTCATTTTTTAAACAATATTTTAGATACATACTTTGCACTAAACTCTGTTTACGGCTCTTTCCAAATATCAATTCACTTAATTCTAATAATCTCAAGAAGCAGTACTGGTATTTATCCTTGTTTCTACCAATATAGACTTAGAGAAATTTTAGAAAATGTGCCCAAAGTGGTAGAGGCCAGTAGCAGAGTCAGACTGAGAATCCGTGCCATTCACCCGGATTGGCCATGCTCTAACCTGGCGTGCGGCGCTGACTGTGGGGGTGGAGCCCTTGGTTCATCTTCCTTGGGAGAATGATCAGCTATAAATCCAAAACTTTCTGATTTGTTTTGATCTTTTAGCCTTGACTAGTGTTCCCTTCTCTTTTAAAGATGATTCTGAATTTCACTTTTAATAAAGGGTTGACAGTAAAGGTTAACCCTCAACAAGCACGAGCAAAGTTTGAGTGGAGAACGGATAAACTGCCAGTTACATTGTGGAAATAGAAGGTGGTAGGCAGCCAAGAGAGGTGGTGTCTCAAAAGAAACAAATCTGTAAATTTCAAACATGAAAATTAAGGTCCACAAATCTATGAATAAAAGTAGTAAATTCTGACATGGTAATGACACAGGTCTCAAAAGAGTAAGGTCTTTATGTAAATACTAAAACTTACCAAAAAAAAAAAAAAAAATCCTCTTAAAACACAGGTTCTACATAATTTACTAGAAAACCACTACTCTGAAAAACCAATCTATTTGTGGCACCTAAAAACCACAAACCAAAATGCACTGGAGAGATTACAGTGATATTAAACGAGGTGCATCTACAGAGACCTCAACCACAGACATGGTCATTATCTGTACTTCTTAAGTAAGAACTACCTGGGCAGTGACAACAACAAAAAGATCCCTAAATTCTACCAAATCAACTTGTTTTTCTTTTTGGTTGTGTTCTGGAAAGAGCAGTTTGATCCAACTGTGACCTGGGGTGGTGAAAAGAGTAAAGGAAGGCGGGAGAGCGGACAGCTGCTACCACTGTCACCCCCACCACCTCCAGGGGAATTAACAATCATAAACAGCATTACGATGTTGGTTTTATTTGAAGCAAAGAGAGGATTATAGGTATTAGCAAACTAAGAAGGCTAAAGAAGAGGAGTCCTCGGCATCGATGTAGCTCGCAGTCAGAAATAATTCTTTTCCCCCCTGTTCTTGAGGGTTTTTTTTTTTTTTTTTCCATTTTTACAGTTTTATTCAGTCATATTTGCAGTTTGGGCCAAGAGTATTTAACCTCTGAGAAGCCAACTAGGTTCTGGGAAGGATGCCTGTCCAAACTGGGCCAAGCAAGGATTGCGCAATTCAGCGTACTACCCAGAGGGCACTGACAGCTACTGTAAATTGAGGGAAACAAAGGGACATATAGCAGCCAAGTACCTTCCCAGAAAGCCTGAGCACAACGTTTCATGAAAAGAAACCAAAACTGTTACGAGTGACTGACGACAACAAACCCAAACAGAATGTTCAGAGTCCTAGGCCTGGTCATCGCTGTTAGACCCGGGCAGCTGGTCTACCGCAAGCAGCCAGCTGCACCCTGCCGTGAGGGGACACCTGACACCTGCATCACCAGCACCCTGGAAGACTGGTGGAGTCGGCTGTGACTGGTTCAGGGGGCGTGGTTCTGTCGGAAAGGAGACCCCGAGATCATTTTGGTAAGAACACATTCACGTCCTAATGAAACAATCCCAAACTGACCTAATCTGGTGTGGCCCCAAATGCTAAGAAAATACAAGGGAAAAGTTAGTGAACAGAACCCGACTAAGCCATCAGAAACCATTTGCGTGGTGAACCCAGCTCTAATCTGAAGGAGTCTCTTACAGTTCTTTAGCTTGCCCCTTTTAAGTTGTGATATGACAGGTGCTCTGAATTTCTTGGAACACAGACCCCACGCAGCAGAGTACCAGGAAGCGTGGAGCAGCGAATTCTGAGAAGAACCCCCAAACCGTGTGTGTGTGTGTGTGTGCGCGCGTGTGCGTGCAGATGTGTATGTGTTTTATCTCCTCTGATCTCTAATTCCGTTTCCTAGGCCTGAAACGCTTGAGACTCCTTTCTTAATCGGGGCCGCCAACAAGTAACCTGGGCACGGAGTGGAAGAGGTTTGTGATCGTTCTGAGCAGGCCGACAGCGCGCCAAAAAGCACTTGCAGATAAAAACACGAGCTGCCAATTATGTGTAATTAGTAATTTAGGCAATTGCCCGGAGTTCAAACCTGACTTTACAGCCGAAGCTACAGAGAAGCCACAGGTGTCCGCCTGTCTTTGGCGGCGCAGGCTCCCCTCTGCCCGTGGGGGCGCAGCGGGGCTGGCTGTACGAGGAGGCCTCACGGGTGGAGGCCTGCTTCTTCCCAGACGCGCCTGTGCTGCCACCGTGGTTTCTCGACGCCAAATCACAAAAGCAGGCTGCAAGTGGGTTTTAGGAATCCTGAATCGCCGCCAGGACAGCTAAGTGTCTGGCCTCGGTGCCGAGGCAGCTGGCACGGCTGAGACACAGACCCCTCCAGGGAGCTCTGCTGCTCAGGTGTTCGCAGGGGCAGGAGATTCAGGGACACCGCAGCTCGGCTCCAGGCCGGCCTGGC